CTACTACTACTACTACTACTACTACTACTACTACTACTACTACTACTGCTGCTGTAAGGCTGAAGGTAAGAAAGGTCAAGCCCTTAAATGCCTTTCTATCCCACGAAGCAGCAGGGCTTTGCCGTCTTATAATGTACACTCTGTATTTTCTGCCAGATTACCAGCCTATTAAAGGTTATCAGAGCTCAAAATAATAGCCCCACAGGGCAGCTCTCCATATGTGCCCCATCTTATTATATATATAGCTTCTCCAACTGATGCTGGTGTCAATGTTGCATGCAGTGGGGGGCAAGAAGATGAGCTGCTTTGCGCGCCTTTCTTGATAAGCTATGAGGGAATGGACATATAAAATATATCAGCACAATGAAAGATAGCTATTTTCCTCCCAAAAGCTTTGGACCTTGGCCTAAATACAACACTTGAACAAGTGCAGGTTGTAAAAAAACAAAAAAACAAGTCTAGTAAACAGTCATGCACACGACATGCATCACTGCCAAGACATTATTAAAATCAAATCTTCTGTTTGAGGTCAACGCCTCCTCCGGATGAAATAAAATAAAAACGGAAAACGACGTGACTACTTTAGTCACAAGGACAGGCGCAAGACGCATTAGTGAAAATTGAGTCTAATGCTGCCCAGTGTTGCCTCCTCACCTCAGATGCTCCCCCTGTCTTCAATGAATGCTTTCTGAGACAAGAAAAAAATAAATAAATAAATGAAAAGAGAACAAAAAACAACTAGCCTTTCGGAAGCTCATCAATCATGGTTGAAGACAAAGGCAAGAGGGAAGGAGGGTGGGGCTGAGGAGACTTTGCCAAGTCTTGTCCTTCACAATCCATTATAAAAGGATAAATGGGGGGTCTCTGCAGTCCACATGTGAATGAGCAGACCGACTTGTGCCAAAAACAAACCATAGCAGGTTTAAAATGGGGTCAAAGAGCCATCCAACAGGCCCTTGAATTAAAAAAAATGATATTCTCCCATAAATGCATGGTGAAATTCCCTTTCTTTGTTCCTTTTGTACACTTTCACATGACTGTGATGCACAGAAACACAAGGTCACTCGTTTCAGGTGCAGAAATAAGTGTATGAGTGAGCGAAGAAGCTATCACACCACAGTACACATCAGTCTTACCTGGATGAGTGATTCGCTCAGTCTTTCCTCGTCTACCTCCAGCACAATGTCCCGGATCTCTTCATAAGGCAGGCGGAACGAGCCCAGGAAAATTGCTGTTGTGATGTACAGAAAAGAGAGTCATTTCCTCCCCCTTTTTTATGAGACTGCAGGCTTCAAAGAGACAGTTCAGTACTCATCACTCAGATAAAATGACCACAAAACCTCACATGCCACTTGAACAAACTATGTCAGTCAGACACAAACGGGAAGAAAAACATCAAGATTTTGCCTTCAAGGTTCAAAATCAAAATGTTTTCTGTGGGTCTGTTTTTGTTTCTTTTAAAACAATAATCTCACACAACTCCAACAAGAACGGTTGGAGGTGGTCACAATGTGTGTGCGTCATCTGGAAATGCAACATGTTTTTGTTTGGGGTGTACAAAGGGCCACAGTAAATTTGCCTCAGGGGGGAAGCCTGGTGGGTGTTTCACACTCCAGGTGGGGTGGCTCCATTGGAAATTGGAGCTGATGGTGTATCCAGGTGGAAGTCACAGGTGGAGTTTTGGTAATGAGTTGGAGGAGAGTCACTCAACAGCTGCTATATGACTGTAGCAGTGGGACCTGATGTCTGTATCTGATGGGCAACAAAAGGGAGAGGCAGTGCATTTTTACCCCGTTTCTTTTTTTTTCTTTTTTTGCCTTGTTCTCTATTCCCCTAGAATATAGTTGTGTTGTTGTGATGGGATGCCTGGAATAAAGCCTTGGAATAACTTTGTTGCACACTGACTGATTCAGTATTGTCTGCCATCAGTTCGCACTCGTTTGGTGTCTTTACAAGTTAAACATAAACCCAACTGTGCTGAACTTGATGAAGCGGTGCAGGTGTCCATTTTATTAGTGCAGATTCTGCAGTGCAATACAATTCAGGCCTGCACTTCAGCAGAAATAAACCAAGCCCCACTTATCTGCTGAACAGTGCTCTGAAATCTTGCTCAAATGCACTGAACCCTCTTTTTGAGGTTAGTCCGCGGACAAAAAAAAAAAAGATAAGCAACAGAAAAATCAGGCCGTGTGGTATTTCTGTAACTTTTCCTTCAGTCAGTGATTGCGGTGACAGGGATACGCCCCTCTCTGAAACAGCTGCTGTTTGGAACCCAAGCTGTGTGGCACAGGGTTTCTCAACAGCTGCTGTCTATTCAATGTTTTTTAACTATCTTAACAGCATTTGTTTTGGAAATCAGTTAGATAATGCTGTGGAATCATTTAGCTATGGATAACAGCCAATGGATAGTAGCTGTGCTCTTAATAAGTCTGCTTACAGGGACATATCTTATTAAAAATCTAACTATCCAATATGATACAAATGGCAATATGTGGCATGCACACAAATCACTATACTGAACTGATCATTATTTAAACTTGATTTCAAGTCACTATATTCCAGATAAAGATGTTTTAAACTTTAACATGAAACAATAGAAAGAACAAATTAAAACCTCTGTGGACAGAAACATCTCATAATTTAGCTTTCAAGTGGCACACTTCAAGCTAGATGCCCCACAGAGTGCATAATTCAAAATCTAAAGCCTGCTGTGTACCAGAGAAGTCCATTGTAAAAATAAAATGAAATCTTAGACAACATTTGAGTCTGTGATAAATCAGAAACGCTTTCTTGTTATTGTTGATAATTATACCACATCAGAAGGCTTATTATAAGCTAAAGCACTTTAATTTCCCTTTTGCACAAGCTGTCATTAAAAACACAGCTCTTGGTCTGGTCCTGGAGACCAAAAAACTCTCTCTGGATCATCTTAGAGAACTTGAATTCCATCATATTTAAAGAACATCAACATCAGTGGCAAGAGTCTTTGATTGATCTTCGAAGGCGAATAATGTCCAAAATATGTTCTTTTAAGATGTAAACCATTTTCTAACGTCAGCCGGTGTAATTTGTATAATTTGGCACTTAAGTCACAAGTCAAACCGTAGCTTACTGATGGTGATGGGTGAATTTTCAGAGAAAGATTGACACAATTTATCAGATTGAAGTATGCATAATCATTATACTAAGAAACATAAAGTGACACTGACATCACAATCACTCACGTTACCCTACCCCCCCTCCCAGTCATTGAACCTTCACATCAAAATTGAAAAAGGGAGCATGGTTGGTTCACAGGCTGGCAGTGAAGATGATCTATGATGCTGTGGAATGTGTCAAAGCGACACGGCAGAACAGTGGAGTTGTGTTGCTTTCCACCCCTTTTCCTATGTGAAGGTGGGCTTTTCATTTCAACACTTATTTTTGGCAACTGCCAAATTCCGACCCCATCTGCTGGTTCTGTAATCAGACATGGCAGTGACACCTATCAACATTGTCACAGCCCATACGCAAGTGCAGTGACATGATTTGCAAATGCAACAAATCACATGACACACAAATACAAACACATGCCTCTGTGTATCATCCGTATGCTCCTGACACATGTCCCTTCCAGACACTGACCCACATTTTAGGGACACATTAAAGGAAGCTTGGCAGGTGAATTAAAACACCAGCACATGTTTACAGGATTCCACTAAGGATCAAAAAGGTTTAAATGACCCACTTGAAGCTTCAGTCGACAATTTTCAAGATGGTTTGTCTGCATGAAAAAACGTACATATCACAGATACAAACTAACAAATAAAAACAAATAAAGATATTTTTATTTATTTAAAAAAATAATGGATTTATGAGGACTCTCCTCATTAGTACCCTCACACTCTGGGTTCTCATTTTCTATTCCACCAGCAGCTGCTCAAGGCTCCACAAAATGCCTGTGTTGTGCACAGTAACGCTGACACTGCTGATATAAAAGGTGATGGCTTAAAAGAATCCTCATGTTGGTACACATGAGTTCATTTACAGCAAAACAACTGAACGCACAAAAATATCTACTTACAGAGATTTTGCGCTGTCTTGGGATCCAGGATACGAAGCTCTTTTGCCTTTTTCTTGAATTGTGGTACTGCTGCATCAGTCGTATCCTTTAAATCTTTTTTCACTGTTGGCAGAAGAAGAAAAAAAATAATTTATTTAAAAAAAAACATTTATTTTGCACCAAAACTGCAATTAAAAATAAGTCATTGTCAGATATTACACAGGAAAAAACATAATAAATAGTAATCAGAAACACCAGTATGAATAGGAAGAACCCATACATTTATCCAACTAAACTAATTAGAGAAGACTAATGCAACCGATAAGCAATGCGACTGATCAGCCCTGTAACATGTTCCATTTTTTGTAAAATAGTTCCACATAAAAGAGATAGAAAAACAAACTGATTTTTAAAAAATGCTTGCAAACATGACAATAGTTGGTTACTTTAATAATGAAATCAACGACATGGGAACTACATGCCTCAAGTCCCTCCTGAAAGGGACTTTTTTTGTGTGTTGTCATCTTTGTCATTGCGAGAGTGAGTGGATTGTTGAAAAGAAAAGCTCCTTCCCATAGGCCCTGTTTCTAAAACGATGTTACCTTCGCAAATACAAAAAAATAATAATAATGTCTGTGACTGTCTACGAATAAAGAGACCACTTTTCATAATGGAAACATCAATGAGTCTCCACAGAGAGGAAACACCACGTTTTGCTCTGCAAAAACATCAGGCTTGGGTAAAAGCCCACCTGTCCATGTACACAGTAAAAGGTTGACGCTTGAAGTGGCCGTACAGTTCTAAGGAGAGGGTTTAATTTTGCTCAATAAAGAAGAAGGAATATGATAAAGAAGATTCCTTAGATCTTTTTTCTCTCCCTTGATGGTTTATGAGAAGCCGCACACTTTGTTACTAATCATCACAACTGCTCGGTTTAAGCCCAAGGTGGGAGTCTCAAAGGAAATCTAGAACAAACAATCTGCTCCCTGAGTGCTGGCTTGCATATTTGAAGAAAGAATCAAAGAGGCAACATCTCCTGGGCAGCCTGAAGAAGCAATGCTTAAGGCTCCTTCCTAACTCTTCTGTGTGCTGTCAACATATCACAACAGGGAGGCAGTTGTTTACTGTTTAAGCTGTGCTAAAATGGTGTTAAGTATAAACCAACGTCACACAAAGAAAAGTGGTGTGATTTTATATTACCGTATTAAGGTGTTCCTTTAGGATCTTAGAGAAGTCAACACACTAACTCTAACCCCCTTCAGAATATAGTACACAACAGCCTACATTTATTTCTTCAAACAGCAGCAACAGGGAGGAAATGGAACTCGAAGAATTAAACAATTATTTTTTAATGGAACACAACTGGCGGACCGTCCAGGGTGTACCCAGCCTCTCCCCACTGACCACTGGGAAAGGCTCCAGTTCCCCCCGCGACCCCATTAGGGAAAAAGCGGTAACGATAATGGATGGATGGATGGATGGATGGATGGATGGAAGGAAGGAGCAACAACATTTTTGGGGGTTTAGATTTTGTCAGAAAATGTCATCGTAACACAAGAAGTGTGATTCCCCAAAGAAACACGCTTTTTATTTCTTCTTTTAATCCAGTTTGGTGCCTTTCAACCACAGCATTTGAACACTCTGCCTTCCTATTGGCTCTGGAAAACCCTGAGCTTTAAAATTCTTGTGGAAACACACACAGCTCTATCTCCACATTTTTTTGGAAACCTGACACTGACAGGAATTGTTAAGGGCCTGATATACTGATCTGGCCTCCAAAGAACTCCTCTAAAGACATGCATTCTGCCATATTCCAACAAAACTCCTATAATCCCACAGTAATGGGTTTGAGCATTTTTATGACATAAGAAAGACCTACACAATATAAGCAAGGCGGTTTTAAAGTTCTTACTAACCAGTTTGGCAAGTAAAAATGGGTAAAGGGATGATGCACGGATAGCAATTGGCTGCCTCTCTGCTTACTGTAAAGTCAGTGAGTCAGTTTGTATTCAAACGAGAACACAGTAAGTCTTATACCCTCATATTTTGAATGCCTTTGTTTTAGAAGGCTGACATTACGCCACTATTACCTTTTAATCTGAATTCCTTCAAAACCCAGTGACGTGATAAAAGGCACAAAATAAATATGAATCAGCTCATGGATAAATCCAATGACAAGTAAAATACTC